TCTCTCTCTCTCTCTCTCTATATATATATATATATATATATATATATATATATATATATATATATGTATATATATATATATGTGTGTATATATATACATATATATATATATATATATATATGTATATATATATGTATATATATGTATATATATGTATATATATATACATATGTGTATATATATAAACATATATATATATATATATATATATATATATATATATATATATAATCATAATACAAAAATTAATGCTAATAATAAGTATCATAATAATAACTAGAAAGGCTTCGAAAGCGCATACCTCCGTCAAGGCAATAGGATCACTGATGCAATAAAAATATCAGCACATGAAAAATTACATTACAGTCACGTTTCTCACGATAATAGTAACGTCCGTAAACATAACCTTCTTGGTGGAGGTGATAATGGTAATGATAATACCCTGAAGAAATCCTCAAAAAAATGCTGGATCCGGATCAATATTAAAATTTAATGGCATATAAGTTAGGCTAAGGCATATCTCATATTGGTAAATATTTGATAAAAATTTATTCAGAACTTCCTGAATTACCCTGCTATAATAAATTCAGAACTATCACTAAGAATTATACCAGCGTGGGTCTTGCTTATCTTGCGGCGATTTAGATAGAAGTCAGTACGAGAAGCCAAAACAAAAGCTCATATCTCTTGTGCTGAAGAATATATGAAGCTAATTATTATTTACTGTACACAGACCTTTAATTTTCCTGTCAACCAAATAGGACGGGTGGTATTCAAAGTGCCTTGATGACAATAGCAAGCCGAGCTGTATATGTGATCGTATTCTTTGGAACACCCGACACATAGTGACTTAAGATATGTTGAATGGTGCGGAAATTGAAGTTGTGTGTGGCGTGAGTGTTTGAGTTGGAAGCGTGGGTGAGAGAGTGCGAGCAAGCAAGGGGAGTTCACTCGCGTGTATAGTTATGCCATTGGAATGTGCGTTGAGATTCAATGTGTGGCTAACAGTGGTAGGAGCATGTAGTTATACAGTATCAGTTTCCTACAATAGTTAATAGTATGTGCATGTGTATTAGTTGTGTAGAATAGTGTATGTATGTTGATAGTGTGTGTGTTGTGTGGTGTTGAGTGTGTGTGGTGTGCTAGTTATTACCGCGATAATTCTCTCATATAATACCATATTAATAATATAAATATACAGTATGATTGTTAAATATTTAATCAATATCAAATTATATATTATAAAAATTCCCAATTATTCCATAAATTAGTAATCATATTTTAAATATATATATATTAATATATAACTACTATATTATATATATATTCATTTTATAGCTAGTGACTAATCACTTTATTATATTCCCTTTAATTAAATCGCTATTAAACTCCATCATTTTAAGTCATTCCAATACAGCTTAATAAGTTTATATCACTATCACCACATGTAATAACATCAGTCCCACAGAAATGTTTCATTTTTCTACTTAAAATAAAGGAAATTTACGAAAAGGAATTTTCACCTAGCACACCACTCACACCACTCTATAAAGGCTTTTCTTTTTCTCCTCCTTCATCACACTACACACATATATATATATACTATTTTATTATTCCTTTTTCTTTCTTCTTTATCGGTCATAAAACGTTATACTGATGTTTTGAGTCTGAAAAAAAATTATCAACGTTACATTTGATCTCTAGATTTTTTCCGTATAGTGAATTGATAAATTTATGAGTCAGGGGTGATGATTATATATTTGATTTACTTGTGAATAAAAGTATTCACTTTATATATAGTGCAAAGCTATTTTTACTCAATGTATTAGTAAGAATATCATATTAGAAAGATGATATACTTATAATATTTTACCTATATATAGCTATTATTTTATTATTACAAATAATTAATATATAGGTGAAAAAGTTTATCATATTATCATATATTTTTATAGTTAAGATACTATTGGATGGTAAATTTCAGTATTCTTTATAATTATAATATCATTATAATTACATTACTCGATTATATAATTGGTCATTATTATATACATATAATATTATAGTGTGAAAAGCTATTAATTATATTATATATGGTTATGCGTTATCATTGTATATTATATATAATAGGGTTACATACCATATATTTATATCTTAGCATTTAATTAAATTGAATTATGTATTATATATAGTATGTATAAAATAGATAATTCCAAGATGAGTTTTTATGTGTTTTTTTATTATTATATTATTTATTTATATACAATTGTTGACTGTATGTGATTCAATAACATGTTATTTTAATTATAAATAATAATCAATGTATATTCAATTATAATGCTATCATTTGCTTATACTATTATCTATATACAATTTATTAATATATAGTATATAATTCTATAATTTGTATAAATAATATAACCATACTATCATATAATCAATCATAATCACATAATCAAATTTTATGAATATAAATATATATTATTAGTTATTGCACTATTACTTACTATATAAGTTATATAAATATATACTATATAGATCTTAAAGCACACACACACACATCACACACACATACTACACACCTTCTCCCTTTGTAATTGGGTCTTTGTCACAACACAACAGTGCACACGACACAACCTACACATCATCTGAATATATAATTGCCTTTGTCCTACAATGATTATATAGTATTAATATATATATAATATATATATAATATATATATAATTATATATATATATTAAATATTAATATATATAATAAAATTAAATATTAATAATAAACTATATATAATTATATTAATATATGATAATATATTATATAATAACTCAAACTACACAAATAAATACAATAAAAATAAATACAATAATTATAATATGTATAATAATAAATGATATACCAATAGACCAAACACATAACAATTAATAATAACTTTTCAAAAGGTGGTCTGGGTATATCTGTTCCACAACAAATATGCTGTGTTAAGTAGGAAAACATAGGTGAGACACACACATCCCTTAACACACACACATCCATCACACACACACACTCACACTCATATATGTACCTGCTATCATATCTATAGGATGTAAGCTATAGTCAAACAACACAATGTATAGCTAAGAATAAAATGATATATAAGTAGAAATATAGAATATAAAATTAAATAGGGAATACGGAGGATAATTAGATATAGTATGAGAAGGATATTACACACACGAGTGGTGATAATATACTCAAAGTATCCGGAATTATACTATATATATATACAGGCTACTATATAATACAAATTGAAATCAATATACTAAATAATATATGTATCATTATATATATATATATATATTTATATTATATAATATAATAGTATACTATATATACTATATATATATAATAATATATATACATATAATGTATATAATATAATTATATATATATAATATATATATATATATGTATATATATATATATATATATACTATAATATATATATATATATATATATATATATATATATATATATATTAAATATAATATATATTTATATATATACACACAAACACAACACACACCACACATACACTATATTATATATATAATATAATATATATTATATATATATATATATATATAATATACTAATATATAATATATATGTATATATATATATATAATATATATTGGTATATATATATAGTATATATATATATTATATAATATATATATATATATATATATATATATATATATATATTATATTATGTATGTATATATATAATATATATATATATATATATATATATATATATATAATGTACATATATATATAAGTATATAGTATATATATATATATATATATATATATATATAATATAATATATAATTATATATAATTATATATATATAGTATGTATTGGTATATATATTTATATATTATTTATATATATATATATATATATATACTATTATATATATATATATATATATATACTATATATGATATATATTATATATATATATATATATATATATTTATATATATGTATATATATTATATATATTATATATATATATATTATATATATATACTATATATGTGTGTGTGTGTGTGTGTGTGTGTGTGTGTGTGTGTGTTGTGTGTGTGTGATCCTAAAATGTTTACTTAAATTTATTCTTAATCGCAATGGACATCATCATCAACATATTTTAAATAATTATCAATATGGCATCGGGAAGAAAGTGAATATTTACTTTTATCTTTTCTCGTACCGGGCGTAATTACTAGCAAAACCTTTCACCAATGTATATCTATAAGCAATGATAAATAAAGGGAAGAACAAGAAAACACACAAAGCAGAGAACCTTTTCGTTGCATTGTCTCTTGCCCTGAACAAGGATATGGGAATAACAGCGAAAAAATCTTCGGCATATTCGGTTTTTTTCTTGTTCTTCCCTTCGTCGATTTATTCACGATTTGCTCATCATGAATCCTGCACAAGTGGAAATGTAATTGTCATCGATCAGGAAATGAATCACTGGCTTAGATATGCGTCCCCTGCAGGAGTGAGTCACGTGGGCCGCCGCGACGTCCTGGGAATAAGTCACTTTATCTCTTATCGCTAGACGTCTTGTCACTCCCGTTCTGCTCCGTGTTCGGTAACTATCTTCCAGCCTCTATGACCACCATGATCGAGGAAGTTTACTTTTATCAGTATATTCAACCTTTTATGAACAGCAATCACTCGTGCTGGATAATCATGGCTGTCATAGAGTTCAATGGATGCTTTGATGCTCAAGTTGAAGATCAAAGTCGGTGATCACATCTTGGGAGCGACAATGTTATTTCTACTTTTTGTCTAGTCGATTCCGTAGTCGTATGAAGTATCATCAGGCTATTATGAACACAGGAAAGACACACCCGTGCTTTGCCCATTTCCAGTCATACTTGAGCGGGGGACACGGGCGTAGATGCGGGCGACTACTATTTCCATATCACAACTTACGGTACTATTAAGATGTTCACTGACGTGGTTGTTCCCTTGGTTCCCCAGTAGAGAGAACTCCGAACGAGAGAGACCAGAAGCGCTTTCTGTCTCCACCAACGTTTCGCCGCGAGAGTTCCGATGAATCACACTCCGCCCGGCTGCGGCGCGGTCACCGTTTACACTATCGTCTTGCTTCGTGGCGAGAAGGCCGGTTAGGTCGCGGTTTCAGGTATCCGTTTGGTAACTGCATGAGATATTGCTTTGCAACTCTCTCATCCCTTGCTCTCTCTATCTCTCTCTTTCTCTCTCGATGTACGCGGACAAACTTTCCTTTTCTCATTATTTGTACATTAAATTACGAATGATTCTTTCCATTTACACAGTATATACTTTGCTTTCTGTCAATCGCCCGCAGGAGTGCCCGTACATGCCAATTGTGCTGAAGTGTCCGTGAAAGCCAAGATATCACTTCAGTGACAAGAGAGTATATTACCTTTTCAGCGTCCTGTCGTCCACTGCTGCGAATGCCCAACGCGACGTAGTCATATCGGCGGCGGCGGGAACGTGACCTATGCACCGGGCGCTCACTCTCTCGATCCGTGAATGTTGGCGCTTCCTCGGTCGCTACTCGACTGGGTCGTAGGGCATGTACGGGTCCGCCACGTCAGGATAACGCGTGTAGGGGTTGTCCGATTTCGTGACTTGCGGAAATCTATCTACATCGGCAGACTTCCCTTTTTTTTCTTGAGTAAATCTTGACGTTCGTCTTAATATGTTCTTACTGGCAACTGGGCCGTGTTCGATTAGTAACTTTTATCATTACTATCAGTCTGGCCGATATCGAAGATAGCAGTTTTATATACCCAAGCACAAGCATATAGTATGGACAGTGAGCCTGCATAATGAAGTGGATAGTACTTATAGGGTCTTTTAAAAGGTTTCTTGAAGCAGCCTTTTCACTCTCTCTCGCGAGCCTAAGATGACATTTCGAAGACGGTCAACAAAACGAGATTTTTTTTTGTCCCAAGAGTAAAGAAATAATAATCATAACGGAAAATACAGGAAACAAGGAGAGAGGGGGGGGTAGGAGGAGAGGAAGTGAAACAGGAAGAGGAAGAGGAGTACGAGAAGAGAGCAGCATGAGGAAGAGGCAGGAGCATGAGGAAGAGGAAGAGGAAGATGAGCACGAGGAAGAGGAAGAGGAAGAAGATGAATACCAGGAAGAGGGAGAAAATGAGCACAAAAAAGGAAGAGGAAGAAAAGGAGGAGAAAGGTGAGCACGATGAAGAGGAAGAGGGTAAAGATGAGGAAGAGGAAGAGGAAAAAGGTGATTACGAGGAAGAGGAAGAAGAGGAGTAAGAGGATAAAGATGAGGAAGAGGAAGAGGAGGTAAAAGGTGAGTACGAGGAAGAGGATAAATATGAGCACCAGAGGAAAAATATGAACATGAGGAAGAGGAAGAGGACAAATATGAGGAGGAAGAGGAGGAAAAAGGTGACTACGAGGAAGAGGAAGAGGATAAAGATGAGCACGAGAGGAAAAATGTGAGCATGAAGAAGAGGAAGAGGAGGAGGAAAAAGGTGTGCGAGGAAGAAGAGGAGGAAGAGGATAAAGATTAGCACGAGAGGAAAAATGTGAACTTGAGGAAGAGGAAGAGGAAAAAGGTGAGCACGAGGAAGAGGCAACAGCAACAGCAGCCGTGGCAGGTGAAGCAGGAATAAGAACAGGAAGAGAATAGGAGTAAGAACACCAGTTAAAGGTGGAGGCCAAAGAAGAAGAGTAAGAGTAAGAAGACATGGAGGAAGAAATGAAGAAAAGGGAGATGAAAGGAATACAAGGAAAAAAAAGAAGATATTACTCAGCGACGTGAGGGAACTCCTAGATTACAAAGCAAAAAATGGCTTTGTATTTTGCATTCTCATATATCTGATCTTTTACTTCAAAGAGAAGAAAAATATTCAAAATAATTCAGGCATAGATTATGTTAATCGCAAGATATAATTGTAAAGACAATCGTCTTACTCGCAACCATGACGTCAATATAAGGTCAGTTTACGACACTTGAAGGGCTATGAGTCATCCACGATATCAGATAAGATTTCTCGCCGTCAAATCCGCACTATAGCAAACTGCATTTTCTCCGCAGAAAGTGAACAAAAGCACATGCACACAGTTATGCAAAAAAGGAGGGATATATACATGCATGTGGGGTGAAATTCTGAAGGAAAAAAGATCTTTGTGGTTTGATACCTTTTGCAGGTGGTCGGGGATGCTTCTGAGAATGTTCGACGGGGTAACGCGGGGCTCGGAAGAAATATGATTTTCGACATACACGTACGTACATATACATACGGATACACACATATATGCACAACACGGTCTACCATTACTAGCGATATTTCACGACTCTAAGAGGAAAGAAAGCAAGGGCACAGAAATTAGCGAATGTGACAACTCTCTACCAGAAAGATGACTGGCTCAACCGTCTTACTTATAAACAAATATCACGAACAAGTGTTTATTTTTATAAGAATTGCTTAGATACTGCTACAACAAGAAGGATATGTAGACAATATATGCACCTGGATTTCAAAGAGGCTTTTGACAAAATGTCACATAGACAAAACTGGAACAAGTAGGTGGAGTTCAGTGAAATTTTGAATGGCTGTAGTCCTCTCTCTACGAGAAGACAAACACATACATTATTAGTTTTTAGAGGCATACGCCCTACACAAGGACAAGTGACAAGTGGGGCACCAAACGGATCGGTCTTGGCACCAGCTGTTTGTTTTGATCAGTGGTTTGGGCTCGATAGCTACCTGAATTTATTTACAGACGACGACGGATACGAGGGGTGAAAACAAGGATCTTAAATCTCAAAAAAGACATTTTTTGTTCAACTTGAGTTATAAGACGAATATAGGATTTAATCCCCAACAAATGCTATGGAGTCAGGTATATGGAGAGTGAAGCTCAACCCTGATTCTAACACACACACACACACACAACACACACACACACACACACACACACACACACACACACACACACAACACACACACACACACACACACACACGCACACGCAGTCGTGGTTAAGAGAGCCCATACAGAGTACACATCAGGACCTGTTCTTTCATGCTACATTGGTAAGGAAACCTAATTTAAGGTAGGACAGATAAACCGAAGACTTCAACAAAAGGCGCCTTGGGTGTCAACAAGGAAAAGACTGAAGAAATTAAACGTCACAAGAAAGAAAACGGAATGACATGACTATGCTTTACTGTCACGTCTTTGGAACGATTAAGAAGGGTCGTTTTCAGTGAGAGATCATAACAAAAATACAAGAGTAAAGTGGTAACAAGAATGTAAAAAAAAAAAAATAATAATAATAAAAAAAATAAAAAAAATAAATTGGGTTACTGATGATTGGAACCACCAGCTCAAAAACACATATGCTAAAAACATTCAGTTCAAAAAGGTTTATAAGAATCTCAATGTGACAGACGGGGCCTCCTGAACTCAGTTCTCTCTACTGTATTTCCACATATGAATAACAGCATGCAACCCGGAGTTTGGTTTCTACATATACGCATATCAATATACTTATATATATATATATATATATATATATATATTATATATATTATATATATATATATATATATATGGGGTGGGGTGGGGGAAGATCTATAGATGTTCTGACAATTAATTAGATTCGTTCCACTGTTCAGTGCAGAGAGAAAAACGGAAGACAATTTGTTGAGTAACCGCTGATCCTCACTTCCTGGCGATACAGTGGCAACGCTGCACTGATCTGAAGCAGCACATATCATGTAAATGAACTTCTCAAAACTTCTGTGTTAAACTGACCCCAGGAAGCGAAAAGTTAAAATAAACTGATATTAGGGCAATCATAGAGATAATAGAACGATATTTCAATTAAGTCTGCCAGAAATAAACAAGAACAAAAAATTCCGACAAGAATTGAAATTTTCCGACAAAACGGACTCTTTACTTGAGAGAGGGGGCAGCCGACCCCATGCCCCCCTCCCTCTATTACGCTACTGATTTAAAGGTATGGAAAGGTAATCGAAGGCGTTAATAACGAATCTTCCCTCTTATCCTTAGAAATCTTAAAACCCAAGTAGACTTGAAGAAAATATAGACGGACCATTTGTTACATACGTACTCTACAATTTCAAGCATCCATTAATATTAACCTCATCAGATAAAAGAGCCAATGTACAGACCTACTGCGTGATAGTATCAGTAACTAATCTGCGTCATGTCTTGAGCGTGACGGTAGTTCTTGCCCTCTTCGTTAACGCCTTATCCTTCTGTCTCCTTAGTCATCCTCCTTAGACCTAACATCCCTCCCCCTCCCCCTTCCTTAACTCCTTCCCGTCCTCTACGACGTAAGAGCAACAGAGTTTCAGAAATTTGAATTTCGTTTCGTGCTAATTACTATTAACCTGGAGAGAAGTAAATGAAGAATAATATAAAAGAAAACATCAAAATCGTTTCGGCGAACTCTAGACGACGGAGAACCAGGAAGAGCGCTGATAAATGAGGTCACGTGTCACACTGACGGAGAAAACCACACAAGGCATAAATGTATCACGTGACTAATATCTCACCCACTAAATTATTCAAGGACGAAGGAAAGTTGGAGACAGGCCTACGAAGGAGCTAGAACGGAGACTTTTTGATTATATAAACACAAAAATAAATAAATAAATAAATAAAAATAAACTTTGAAAATATATGGAATCACTCAATCAAAGAATCGTCTTATGAGAAACCTCCAATAACGTTTCTATATTACCAAATCAATGAATCCTGTACCTGAGAAAAAGCTCGAAGATGTATCTTGGTTTCACTTAGCTTGAGCACGAAGTCTGCCTGTTTCCTCTTCCTATTATTCAGATGTTTGACATTTCTCCAGACACTTGGAATACTACTCTAAATTCACGCCTTTGTTGGCAGCAGACTCTCACAATACCATCTCGAACTACCGAGCGAAAAATGCGTGCTAAGCTCACCTGCAGGAAGCCGCCAGACTAGGTTGACTCCCTCCTGCGAGTTCCTAGAGCCTTATAACTTTTGATCATGAGCCACACATCATCAACGAGTGCACGCCCAACTGTGGATAGAACTGCACTCAAATCTGGGAGTCAGATTAGTGATTTTTTTTCTTTGCGCGACATTCAGCGAATGAACTCGGTGACGCTTCGATCCCGTGTCTGAACTGTGTTTCAGCGATTCATTTGGTGAAGTATGGCGGTCTGCGTTGGCTGAAAGTGATTGGAACTTGCTTGTTTAGCTAGGGGTCATGCAGTAGGATGTAGATCGTTAACTTTTTATCCTTCTGTCTCCTTAGTCATCCTCCTTAATACCAACCTTCCTTCATCCCTTTCCCCACTTCCTGGTATCACCATATATAATATATATATATATAT